TTGTTTTGGTGGGCCTGGGCTGGATTCGAACCTGCCACCTTAGGTGTATGTGGCTGGCACCTTAGCCACTTGAGCCACAGGCGCCGAGCCAATAATTCTCATTCCTTAAGACTCAACCTATGCTGCTCCTTCTCCATTAGGCTTTCTCTCATTAATCCATGCACACTGATCACTTCCTTCTCTGAATTCCTATTCTGTATTAATATTAAATAATTATTTTGCGTGACTTGTGCTTTTTCTATTCAACCAAGTCTTTGAGGAATAAAATTGGGTTTTCATGATTTTTTATTCTTATCCTAAAAGTATTGAATACACAGTAAATTCTCTAATATTTTATGTCTATTTCTAACCAAAAATTTACACATGAAGAAATCTGTCTTGTAGCCTATGAAATCAAACCGTACCCCTAAGAAACAATAATCAAGACTCTACGTTGGTATCAATCTCTGGTGTTTAAAAAAAAAAAAGACTATGACCTGTGTTATACATTAACACACTCTTTCTTTAAACAACCCCATGATCTAAAGTGAATACCATGAGACTGCTAGTGGGCAAGCTAATATCCATTTGGTCATCTTCCTTCACTAACAAAACCATAGTCACTTCCCAGTTCTTGCATGTAGGAGTTCAATTTCAGGAAATATACCAACTAAAAAGATGAGTAGCCTCTTGGAAAAGAAAATGAGAGGTTACATTATAATGAAGTCAGAGCCAGTATAAACCCAGGTCACTGATGATATCACAGTATTATTTCTATTTAACATATGGAGAAAGTAGAGAAAACTCTGAATTTATGATTAGTTAACAGTTCATCACCTTAGTCCACAGCCCCATCACTGTCAAAAATGCAACCAGCATGGAAATAAAAACATGCTTGAGTTTGACTCACTAGTTCTACTCTGTGAATTAGTGCTTCAGTATTTCAGTATTTCTTTCTCTCTCTTTTTTTTTTTTAGAGTGCTATGGTATCGCAGCTCACAGGAACATCCAGCTCTTGGGCTTAGCCAGTTCCCTTGCCTCAGCCTCCCAAGAAGCTGGGACTACAGGCTAATTTTTTTAGAGAGACAGAGTCTCACTTTGTCACCCTCGGTAGAGTGCTGTGATGTCACAGCTCACAGCAACCTCCAGCCCTTGGGCTTAGGTGATTCTCTTGCCTCAGCCTCCCAAGTAGCCGGGCCTACAGGTGCCCACCACAATACCTGGCTGTTTTCTTGTTGTAGTTTGGCCAGGGCTGGGTTTGAACCCACCCCCCTCAGTATATGGTGCCAGCGCTCTGCTCACTGAGCCACAGGTGCCGCCCTACAGGCTATTTTTTTGGTTGCAGTTTGGTTAGTGCTCTACTCACTGAGCACTTCTATACTATAAAATAGTTATAAAAATGGTATTTTTTCATAGATTATGGTAAGGAATAAAAAACAAAACTCATGCGAACACTTATAGAACAGTTCAGGCACATGCTACAGCATCAGTAAATATCAATTACTATTGTTAATAATAATAATTTTGTATTACATAACAAAAATAAGCTGTTATTATTAATTATTATCCCCAATAGTAATTTCTAAACTTCTATAAAAAGGTTACTGTATAAAAGTGACTATATTAGAAACACATAAACTAAAAAATATTTACCAATGAGATTATATTCTAATTGGATACTTGCTTACTTTTGGTTCCTGCTATCACCTTGCATGTAAAAAAAAAGTTTAGCAACAGAGTCACTAAATGTGAAAACCCTAAATATGTTTTACTTCCTTTTTCTCCTCTCTTATGAGAGCTTCAGTTTTATGGTTACAAAGATTTTTAAAACATCAAAGTTCTCCCCCTGGAATAACACAATTTTGTAATAGGTGATTCAAATAATTTTTAAAATTTCCTTACCCAGACGATCCAATGCTCTTACAAACACCAAGGAGTGGTCTTTTTTCAGTGAAGTTATCACATTTTTGAGCACCTGAAAGGAAGCATAAAACAAATTGTAAACTTTGAGAAATATTCTTGTGTATTTCCTATTACTTTCACAATTTCGAAATATTTACAACTGAGACAACAGAAAAGTATTCACTACAAATTGACAAAATTTGTACTCTGACCAAAAAATAGAAAAGCTAAATAAAACAATAAACATTTAAGAAACTGAACCAGCATTATTTTTTAACTTTTTTTTAATTTGGCACCAATGTCAATCTTGAAGATCAGAAAACCACCCCACACCCAGCCAACTAATTATCTGACACTAATATGATGTTGATATCAAAACAAAGGACAGGAAACTTAGAAAATTTTAGGCCATTTTCATTGATATACATAAATGCAAAAATCCCAAACAAAATAATAGTAAACTAAATAGCAATACATTAGAAAAGAAATAAAATCTCATAACCAAAATAGATTTACCCAATAGTGTTTGACATTATAAAATGTCAATATAATTTATCATATTAACATTTTTGCAGATACAAAAAAAGTATTCAGTTAGATTCCATATCTAACCATAATAACAAAAACAACAATAATGTTTTCTGACCCCCAAAGTGATTATCTATGAAAGATCTACAGAAAACACAGCTAATAATTAGCGCATTCCCATTAAAATCAGTAATAACACAAGGATACCCAGTGTTGCTTCTTCCACTAAGCCCTATGGTCTAAGTCGTAGTCATTATCATAACAAATGAACTCAACAATATTACAGAATATGAAATCAATATAGTATCAACAACAAGTCAGAAAGTATTTGTACAGAATGGCTTTACACCATTTGAGAAAATGCTCATCCTAATACATGGCACACATTCCTTAAAATTATATTGATAATGATATTACTGGAGTTCAGGAAAAACCACCCCTAAATATGCATCTTGGTCTATTGATTATTTTGAATGAAAGGCATCTAAAAAAAAAAAGTAGATCCAAGAAGGGCGCTCTGACCTACCCTTTGATTCTAGAAAGCAGGTAAGAAAACCACCATGTGAAAGATGACCCTCTAATATCAAGAAGAATGAAACATTCCAATCACCAGAGATGGAGAGTGAAGGATGAGCGAAATCTGTACAAACTGTTAAATTAACCCTTATCTTCCTAGACACTTTTACATGCCACTTTTTTTTTAAATTTCAGATTAATGCAGGTACAAATGTTTAGGTTACACTGTTTTCTTTTTTTTTTTTTTTTTGAGACGGAGCCTCAAGCTATCCCCCTGGGTAGAGTGCCATGGCATCACAGCTCATAGCAACCTCCAACTCCTGGGCTCAAGCGAGTCTCCTGCCTCCGCCTCCCAAGTAGCTGGGACCACAGGCGCCCGCCACAATGCCTGGCCATTTTTTGGTTGCAGCCATCATTGTTGTTTGGCGGGCCCGGGCTGGGGATTCGAACCCACCACCTTAGGTGTACGTGGCTGGCGCCTTAGCCGCTTGAGCCACAGGCGCCGAGCCGGTTACACTGTTTTCATTTCCAAGGTAAACACATTCAAGTCGTAGTTGAGCCCTTCCCCCAGGGCGTGCTGAACACTCTCAACATCGTGCACATCAGGAGAGATATGGCCAGTTGACCTCCTTCCCCCCCTTCCCCTCTCCCTCTTCTTTTCTCTTCCTCGCCGGATTACACTTCTATTTTTTTCTTTCATGTGGGCAGGTAGTTGTTTATATATTATTTTCATATGAGTATTGAGTACATTGGATTTTGCCCCATTTTTGAGATACTTTACTAAGAAGAATGTGTTTCAGCTCCATCCAGGTAAACACAAACAATATAATGTCTCCAACTTTTCTTATGGCTGAATAATCCTGTAGAGTACACATATTCCACAATTTGTTAATGCATTCACGGGTTGATTCACTCTTTGTTCAACCTAGTAAAGAAACACTGATTCCTAGCCACTTCTTTTGAGTTTCATTTTTCTGGAGGACACACATGTACATATAAAATTCTATTAAATACAATTTGTATGATTTTCTTATTAATCTGCTTTATGTTAATTCTATTCTTAGACTCGGCCAGAAACCCTGAGAGGTTAGGAGAAATTTTTCCTACCCTCTGATACTATGGGTATATTTTTTGTTTGTATGTTTGATTTTTAAGATAGAAAGCAAAAAAAGTTTATTTGACTTTTTCCAATGGAAAAAGGACCAATAGAGTGAAAAAGAAAGACAGAGCAGTGACAGAACAGGTAGTCTGGCTTTTTAATTAAGGATTGTAAAGATTTATGGCTGTAACCAAATTAAAAGGTGTTAGGAGCTGCTGTTATCTGACAGGCAGATAACAAAAGCTGAAAGTGGGCCAGAAGCTATGAGTTGTAACTTTGTGGAAATCAGTAATTATTTCAGAAATAGTTTTTAAAAATGGAAGATGAAATAAACAATAAACTGCTTGCTAGGACTGCTTTAAAAATGGTTTTCCATGATACTAAATAACTTTAAGTTTTGCTATTTAAAAACCTACATATGTCAAAAGAATGAGAAGACACAGATCAGGAGAAAGTATTTGCAAAAGACATGCCAGATAAAAAGACCGTTAGCAGGCTTGGCACCCATGGCTCAGTGCTTAGGGTGCCAGCCACATACACCAAGGGAGGCAGGTTCAAACCCAGCCCAGGCCAGCTAAACAACAATGACAACAATAATAGCTGGACAAAATAATAGCTGGACATTTTATCGTATACCCGTAGTCCCAGCTACTTGGTGAGGCTGAGGCAAGAGAATCACTCAAGCCCAAGAGCTGGAGGTTACTGTGAGCTGTGACACCATGGCGCTCATAGTGCCACATAGTGAGAGGCACATAATGAGGGCCACATAGTGAGACTCTGTCTCAAAAAAAAAAAAAAAAGACTGTTGGCCAAATACAAAGAAGTCTGGTTGTTTTTTGTTTGTTTGTTTGTTTAAATATAGTCTCACTCTAATGCCCTGGTTACAGTCCCGTAGCATCACAGCTCACAGCGACCTCATCCTCTTGAGCTCGAGTTATTCTTTTGCCTCAGCCTCCCAAGTAGCTGGGACTACAGGTGCTCACCACAATACCTGGCTAGTTCTTTTTCTATTTTTACTAGAAATGGGGTCTCACTCTTGGTCAGGCTGGTCTCTAACTCCTGAGCTCAAGCAATCCATCCACCTTGGCCTCCCAGAGAGCCAGGATAACAGGCATGAGCCACCACACATAGTCTATAAAAAAGTCTTAAATCTTACCAAAAAAAAAAAAAAAAAAAGGGCAGAAGACTTGAACAGTCACCCTCACCAAAGAAGATACATACATGGCAACAATCTTATGAAAAGACGCTCCACATCATATGTCATTATGGAATTACAAATTAAAACAATGACATACCATTGCACAGCTATTAGAATGACCTAATCCAGAACACTGACAACACCAAATGCTGGAGAAGATGCCAGCCACAGCTCCCATATACTGCTGGTGGGAATACAAAATGATAGGTACAGTCATGGTAGAGCAGAGTTTGACAGTTTCATACAAAACTAAATGTCCTCTTACCATTCAATGCTGACATCACACTCCTTGGTATTTACCCAAATGAGCTGAAGACTTTTGTCCACACAAAAACTTGCATGTGTATATTTATTTACAACTGTTTTATTTATAATTGCCAAAATTTAAACAAAATCAAGATGTTCTTCAGCAAGTGAATGTATAAATAAACTGTGGTACATCCAAACAACAGAATATTATTCAGCACTAAAAGGAAACGAGCTATCGAGCCATTACCAAGAGATGGAGGAAACTTAAATGCATGTTGCTCAGTTAAAGAAGCCAATACTGTATGTTTCCAACTGTATGACGTTCTGGGAAAGACAAAACAATGGGGAGTAGAAAGATCAGTGCTCAGACATGTGATTAGCAGGGAGGATGACATGAATAGGAAAGAACACAGAGGACTTGTAAGGATTTTTAAGTTTTATGTGAAACTACTTCGTAAGATATTAAAATGACAGATGTATGTCATTATATTAATACATTTATGAAAATTTATAGAATGTACACCCAGAGTGAATCCTAATTTAAAGTATGGATTTGGGTCCAAAGGATGTATCAGTGTAGGATCAATGATTATAACAAACGTTCCACTGTGGGGCAAGAAGTAGATAGTGAGGCTCGGCGCCTGTAGCTCACGCAGTTAAGGCACCAGCCACATATACCAGAGCTGGCGGGTTCAAATCCAGCCCAGCCCCGCCAAACAACAATGACAACTACAACCAAAAAATAGCCAGGCGGCGTGGCGGGTGCCTGTAGTCCCAGCTACTTGGGAGGCTGAGGCAAGA